ACACACACATTAATCTGGACGTCAAAGCTCTCCTTGCTCTGAGCAATCTAGACAGCTCCTTGTTCCCAGTGCCTGGAATATTCCTTGCAGTTCCTGACTGTGTACTTATGCTTACAGTTTTTCTCTTCCACTGGAATGTCTTTCCCCCATCATAAAAAAAACTCATACCTTGTATTCAAGACTCCATTTACATGGCAATGAAAACACGCAGGTTGTTGTCTTAGGAATATACAAGTTTATGAGAATCGGGAGGGTGAAAACACAGAGGAAATGCCAAGCCTGGTCACTACCTCCCGTGGAGGGGAGGCTCTAGGAAACACTGCACTTCCCTCATGCCTATTACTAAAAGGCTGACTGTGAGTCAACTTGAGGTTTATCTCAAACCTATGGATTTCAAGTACACGTGCTCCAGCCGCCTATCTTTCATTAACTGCAATGATCAAGAATTGCCTGTATTTTCAATATTTGGTGTTAAGTGCAATTATTTCCTTCTTAATGCTCTAAACCAAATTGCATTGAGGGGTTGGGGAAAGATGGGCAGTTAGAGACACAGACTTCCTAAAGCCTGGTCTGTCACTGTCATTGATAAAAACTCATTTATTTTTGGTACATGGATCACAGGTATTAAAGATCTACCACATGCACAGGACTTCTCAGCAATCAGAAGCAAAAAAGCTGGAATATGTATCTTCTATACATCTTTCTTCCATCAACCCTTTCCCAATGTTTAGAGTACAATAAAATGCTTTAAGTGCTTGCTTTCTCATGGAGAATCATAATGATAATTAGCAAGTGATTTCTTTTCTTCTGAATTTCATATGTGAGGCTGAAGTTTAGTAGTGAAGGACAAAGGAATAGGCCGCCATAGCTCTGTGGTCACTTGGTACCTACTTTCCTCTGGACTTGAGTTAATTTGGATTTTTGAGAGCCTGAATCCTTAACCCAGGAGAGGTGAAAGAGAATGAAGTAGGGGGAGGTGGTAAGAGATGACTGGCAGAGGTAAAAATGTACTGAACCATCCTGCCCTCACGCTAATATCAAGACTGCCAATCAGGGGTCTGGAAACCTCCTCCACCATAGCCATTTAGGTACTTGTCTAAAATGCAGATTCCTGGCCCTGCCTCAGACCTACAGAGTCACAGTCTCTAGGGGACTCCCTGGGACTGTGGGGATAGAGGATCACTGTTTTGGTGTTGAGCAACTATGGTCTGCAGGCTTGATACGGCCTTTGGACTAAAAACTGTTTTTACATTTTTAAAAGGTTGCTTAAAAAGGAAGGAAGGAAGGAAGGAAGGAAGGAAGGAAGGAAGGAAGGAAGGAAGGAAGGAAGGAAGGAAGGAAGGAAGGAAGGAAGGAAGGGAGGAAGGAAGGAAGGAAGGACACTAGAGAAAGAGTAGGCAACACAGCCAACAAAGTCTGAAACATTTATAATCTGGCCCCTTTGCAAATAAAAGCCTGTGTCTAAAGTTAGCCCTGTCTTAGCTCTGCCACAGCTAAAATAACTGATGCAGTACTTTTTTAAAAAAAAATTGAGAGTAATGAAAAATATATAAAGTCGTCTAAAAATGTGTCTGTAATATATGTGGATTAAAAAGTGTAGATAGTTGCAGTACACGTTCTGCAATGTTTTTGAAAAATATATATTTTATACATATAAGAATTTATGGTAATCCCGTTGTAGTCTACCCTTCCATATAATTATCAGGTGGCACTGTGTCCCAAATTAGCCTAGCAAGAATTATTGCATGTATATTCTTTATTGGACTAAGTTTGTCCCCACATATATTTTTGTCACACATATGGGGAAAAATATGAACCAATATCCCAAAATGTCTGGGGAATGGAAATATTATAAATTCTCAAAACAAAACATAAGAAAATGATGCACAAAGGGAATACAGGAATTTGGTATCTTTCTACTTAAAAGGAGTTTAAGAATCATAGAGCAGTTTTAACTCCTAAGGATCTTGGGAAAGAGACTCTGAACTCACTTTGGGAGGGTCCAGATATTCTCACTGTGGTGAAGAGGCTCAGTGTTTGGGAATCATGTCAGTTAGAGTCATAAAGAAATCCCAAAGGCAGAATGCAGTTCTTTAGGGGGATGGTCTCTAGATATTTTTTTAAATGTGTTTATTTTTTGATGGGGAGAAACTTTATCACAGAACCTAGAAATAAATACTGGCTTTGAAAATACATAAACTTAAAAAGTGACTTGTCCTTTAGAATTGTGCACTGAAGTCTCTCACAGTAACTTTCTTTCAGTGTTGTTTTTTCTCATGAAGAAAGGGATGTTAAAACCTTACTAGCAACTAACATTTTTGATAAGTATTTAGACTACATTTCAATTTTTAAGAAACGAAGTTTAAACACCAAAGTCTTGAAACCTAACACACTTCACTATTTAATAAAATTATGACTCATTTCAGTAAGAAAATGCTTTTTTAGTAAGAAAACTGCTTTCTGAGCTAAGTTTGAACTGCTGGGGCACATGGGACACCCACAAACCCAGTCAGCAGAAGTCTCAAACTCCTATAAGATTAAAGGAAAAATAAATTACTGTGTACAGAGAATGAAAAAAAAATCCCCAATGGTACAAGTGTATAAACGGAAGTAAAACTAAAACTCCCCTAAAATCCCCCAATCATCAATCCTTATAAATTCAGCACTTATCTTCTCCCTTTACTTCTTAGGGACCCCTCGTTAAATGGACATAAAAGTCTTGGGTGATTTTTATCTAGTAAAACAGTCCTCCAACTACACTAAGCGTGGACGCGGACCTCCGTATTACAAAATTGTTTAACTCTTAAAACCACGGATGCAAACGTGGGGTTTTCTGAGTTCTGCTGGGGGCGTGTTGTTCGGGACCCGGTGGATTGTGCAGGTGTGTGATCCAGGGCGCGCACTCCCTGGGTTGCGCCAGGGCAAAGGCGTGCGGTGGGCGCGGTCCGGGCTGGGCAGGGTGGGTGGGGCCGGGCGTGCGCCCGGCGGGGAGTGAAGGCCATGTGACAGTGCGGAGGTGGCGAGTCAGCCCGGGAGCTGGGTGGGGAGTCAAAGTTCCGCCCGAGTGTTCCACGAGGGAGCGGCGATCGCCCCAGTTCCACTCGAAATGTGTGCCCCTTGGCACTAGCGAGTTAAATTAGACATGTTCTTTATTTTAAAGATATTAAAAAGGACCCAGTCAAACATCCCATGAAAACATACGCTCCCATTCCCTATTACTACCACCCCCGCCCATTCCCCCCATCTCCGGCGAGCCGAGTTTTAAACCCGGCCTAAAATCCAATCCCTAATGCGGGAGTCGCCCCCGACCCGAACTGTGCACCCACTGCCGCCCCCGCGACAGGGAGTCAGAGCCCAGTTCTGGTTCTGGTGCCCGGGGGTGTCCGGAGTGCGGCGGCACCGGCGCGGTGCTGCGGGCCCGAGCCGCCCGAGCGGGGGAGCGGGGTTTGCGCAGGAAAAGGCGCCGCCGCGGACCCCGGCCACCCCTCCCTCGCCCCGGGCTCCCCGCCCGCGCGCTGCCCGGGCCTGGAGGCGCGCCCGGCGCGGCACTGCGGCGGGAGAAGCGAAGGGGAGCGGCGGCCGGGCAGCCCGGCGGCGGAGCGGGCGGCCGCCAAGGCGACCGCGGAGGCGGCGGGCAGGGCGCGTGCGCACTGCAGGGGCGCCAGATTTGGCGGGAGGGGGAGTGTCCAAAGCTCTTTGTTTGATGGCATCTCTGTTTACAGAGTTTACACTTTAATATCAACCTGTTTCCTCCTCCTCCTTCTCCTCCTTCTCCTCCTCCTCCTCGACCTCCTCCTCCTCCTCCTCCTCCTCTTTCTCCTGAGAAACTTCGGCCAGGCAGTGCGGAACGTGCTGCGCAGCCGGGGAGGGAGGCAGGCAGGCGGCGGGCAGCGGGAGGCGGCAGCCCCTTGCGGTCCCCGCAGCTCGCGGCTGAGCCCGGCGCCCGCCGCGCCATGGCCCGCAGACCCCGGCACAGGTAACGGGGAGCCCCGGCGGGCGGCTGCAGGTGGGGGCGCGCGGGGCGCCAGACTCCCGGAGAGCAGGTGGGAATTCGTTCCCAGATCTTGTGCGGGGCTGTCAGATCGTGCGAGGACCTAGAGCCTCTGTCTCCGCAGCAAAAGCCGCTGGAAAGACTGATGAATGAAAGAGTCTGTGCAGGAAATATATCAGGATGCCGGGAAGCACGCCCTGCGGCTCATTTTGCAAGTTGCACGGGGATACGTTTCTGTCTAAGGGAGAAAAGGCAGCACGTTCCAGCCGGGGGCAGAGTGGTGCCCACCAGCCCCTGGGAGCCCACTAAGTCCCTGGCTTGATGCCGCGGCTGTCGGCGAGGGAGTAGCAGCGTAATTGCTGGATGCACTACGATTTGTTTGAACTTGAAAATGCAGAGCATATGGCAGATATAGGGAAAATGCCGGATTGTTCAGTAGCTGCAGGTAGTTTATTTAGATTTCATTCATTCTTTATGGACTCAGCTGAAGATGAGCGTCAGCTGACAGGCGGCTGGGAAAAGGAAGATTTTAGGGGAGGAAAAGAGTCACTATACTTGCAACATTGTTTTAAGCTCTGGTTTTGAAGGTTCTAATCATTATTCTCTGGGAGGCTATTTCTTATGCAAACATTGCACAGGCACCCGCGCCGCACATGTCACCACACTTGGGATGAGTGGATGAAGTCCCCTTACGTTGTGGCCGGACGGAGGGGAAGGGGAACAGAAAAGGAGGGAAACACTTGTCTGAACTGTCATTTGCTGGCGCTGCCGCTTCCAAGCCGGTCTCTGGACTTCCCGGGCCGGGCGCGCCGGAGCTCCCTGAGGGCGGCTGGGGCCGGGGGCCGGCTCCGCGGCGGACACGGTTGCCACTCTGCGGAAAGGGACGGAGGCGGGCAGCTCCCAAGGCCGCTGCCTCGCAACCGGGACGCAATCCGCAGGGCTAGAGGTCCGCGCGCGGCGCGCACACGTGGACACGGCTGAGGTCGCGGCTCCTCCCTGCACTCTGCTCCCACCACCTCTGGTCGCAGGGGCGGAGAAGGGGTGACGAGACGGACCCTAGCGCAGAGGTTCTGGGATAAAGTCTCTGAGGGCACAGCAAACCCAACCTCTTTTCTTCTGGGTAGTTTGATGGTCTCGTACTTGTTTTTGAACCGGCGGCCGCTTGACCCCGGGTGCATTGGGAAGTTGCAAAGAGCGTGGGTGTGGGCCCTGCGGTAGCACCGTCGGACCCCGCCTGGCGGAGCCGGGAGCAGCGCCGAAGCATGGCTGGGTGCCGGGGAAAAAGGCGAATTGGGGGGCCCTGGGTCCGGCCGAGCGGGGCGCGGGTGCTGCTCCTGAAGCGGTTTCACCTTTGATTTGGGGACTTAACAGTGGAGAGCTGAGGTCACCTATTTTTTTCTGAGAGCAGAAACTGGGAGGAGGTGAGCAGAGAGCTGGAAAGGGTTGCGGAGAGGACGCGCGGTGGAGACTCCGCTCCTCGAGCTGTGGATCGTCCCCCCCACGGGGCGGGGCCTCTCGGTTCCCTGCGGCTCCCAGGTAGCGGAGGGGTAGGCGGCCCGGAGGGGCGGGAACCTTGAACCTGCCTCCGGGGGAAGAGAAACCCGGCTGCGAGCCCGGAGCCGTTTCTTGCAGGGCCAGCGTCAACTCGGCTGGGATTATTAACCAGGTCAGCGAAATGAGTCTGAACCCCTTTTCTAGAATCACAGAATCGGCCACAAGGCACTTCCTCCCGCTCCCCTCCCTCTTCCCAACCCCCAACACCTCTTTTCTTTCTCGTTTCTTTGCACGGTTTGTTTCCTTGACAGAATGTAATATTCATAGTTGTAGTCTTGTAACCACACCGGGTCTAGCAGGTGGGGGAGTCGAGCGCATCAAGCCTGAAATCAGCCTTTGAAAGTTCTCTGACTGTTGGGTCTGAGATCTTGTCAGAACAGATAAAGGAAAAGTTATTTCGGGTCCTTAGTAGAAATTAATCATGCTACTTAGGCGACCGGAGACAACTTAGAACAAGGAAATCGCATGCAAATCGCAAAGGCGAGACCCCCTGCGCAGCCTGCGGACAGACCCGGGCGCTGCGTGAGCGGCCCTTGGCTCTGCCTCCGCTCCCTGCCTGGCCCCTTCGGGACCCGCAGAAGTCACGCACCGCGTTTTCCTCCAAGACCGCGCCTTTGCACACCTCTGCGGCTGTGCTGAATTCGTAAGAGGCACAGAAGACATGGAATCATTATTTGTTAGCACTGGAAAGTACCTTCGAAGTAGAATCCAAACCCTTTATGTACACGCGAGGAACCGAGGTCCTGAGAGAGAGGAAGTGATTTGTCCAAGTCACGCAGGGAGGTGGAGGCCACCCTAGGACTGGCTGCCTCGCCTTTGGAGCCCTAGACCTATTCGACGGTGCCTGGTCTCTCCCGACTGATGTTGGCTGCCCCCTATGGGCGGCTGGGTATATTGCTTGTTCCTGGGTGTTGAGCTGTTTCCAAAAGAGTTCTGAAAGGGCGATCTCCAGGTTCCTCCAAACCTAAGAAGTTAAATCGAGTTGAATCTAAGGTTCCACTTTGATTACTCCGGTTTTCTTGGTGTCCTGGATATTTCACAGGAATGCCACTTCATTTCGGGGATTTCCAAGGAGTTCCCTGTGAACCTTTCAAAAGATGCTGATCTACCGCTGATCTGGGCTTTTAACATTTTTACTTATGATGCTTGTATTTTTTACTAAAGGGAAACTATTGCAATTATTGATCAGAAGTTATGAGCCTGTTGCTGACACTGCAGACCAGGATTAGGCGCTGCTTTGAAGGGATAGACATTAAATAAAAGAAACAATTATAGATTATAAGTACAGTTTAATAGCCTTTTTTAATGATGGCATTTTTCATTTGGGTCACATCCTACTTATCACCATGCATCTTGGACTTTCAGATTGTTGCCCAAAATAATAGTTTTAAATTGTAACAACTTCTAATTCAAGATTTTTAAAGCACTTTTGCTGGACTTATAAAAGGTGGGTAGTGTATACTTATAAGTTAGTTTGGGAAAACAAATCTGATATGAATATAAACTTCCTTTTTAAAAATAGTAAGTTGGGTATGATATTGCTTTATATTATTTTATTGGTCTCAATTTCATGGGTTTCTCAATATTACAAACAAATTTTAGTGAAGTTGCTAAGAGTATAATTTTTCTCCATATCTTAATTTTATAAGTAAAATTATAAGTAACAGTAAACTGTGACTATAAAATATAGTATAATTCAGCACATGATTAAGTATAGGGGAACTTCAAAAGTCGTCCAAATTCAAAGTTTTGATCAGCTAGGTAAAAGAAAAGTCAGTTTTGAAGACAGTAATGTTTTTTTTTTTAACCCATGTGGAGGAATATCTCAGCTTTGAATTAGGTCCATTTTAAGATATTTCAAATACCATTCCATTAGTGGTAGAAAAAAACCCCAGAAGAGTAAATAGCTTCTGACTCTTGAGTGGCCTAATTATTCACTTAGTTACTCTGGAAACTGAGTATTGTCAACATGACTACAAACTGGATCAGCCTGGCCTGGAGTTCTGGGCTGTTCGATATTAATGTTTTTTACAAAGCAGATCCCTTGATTGTTTTTATCCTTCCTCAGGTTTTTAAACCCTTTCCTCTTAGATTCTCTTCATCTTCTAATCTTTAAGGGATGACTATAATTACATTGTGGGGTATATTACTTCCTGATTTTTTTCCTCTTCATAAAACACCAGTCCCATTGGAACAACCTAATTGAGTTGTTTATTGTATTTGGGAAATATTATTTAAGTGATGTGACGTATGCCAAAGACCTTGAGTGTATACTTATAAAAAGGGCATGTGCTCTCACTCCTTTTATTGTCCTTAACATTAAGTTTTAAACTTAAACCTTCATTGGTTGGAGGGTTGCCAAATGTGTAACTTGTCACTGGTCTAACAGTAACAGCAGGTTTAAACATGCAGGGCAGTAAGCAAGTGCCAGGTCCTTTGCTGTATCTGTGGAGACCAATAACAGCAGAACCAGTTTACAATACTAGAGCAACAGAATGCAGAAAACAATCTTGTTGTGCAAGTTTTCAAAGTTTAATCGTCATAAGCTTGGAAAAGGTTGCTGAGGAGTTTTTGTGTAGGTTTTGCAGCCCAGTAGTTTAAACCTTCTTGTTTCACTCTATATTTGCCTTTTCTTTTGTATTTCCGCAGCATATACAGTAGCGATGAGGATGATGAGGACATTGAGATGTGTGACCATGACTACGATGGGCTGCTTCCCAAGTCTGGAAAGCGTCACTTGGGGAAAACTAGGTGGACCAGGGAAGAGGTAACTAACCATGTTATTAAAACATGGGGAGAAACTAGAGTGTATCCATTTGTGAAAAACAAAATTTCAGCTAAACTCCAAGTGTTCAAGCTCAGGCTTTTAGAATCTTACCCCAGCCTGCCTGTGCAGGATACTCCTATTGACCTCTCACCGCTCCCCGATCTGTACACATACCATAAATTACCAACCCACTTGTTGTTCTTTGAGTGTCCTCTCTTCCTTACTTTGTGTTTCATTCATGTCGCCCACTGCATAATCTGCTCTTGTCCTCTTGCTCCACAACTTCTAACTACTTGATTACCTGTGAAGATACCACCTCTTCTGTGAAGCCATCTCGCGCTTCCCATACAGGTTAGATGCACCCTCCAGTCCTTGGATGCATGTTCTTACTATTCTTGCTGTGACATACATGCCTCTTCCAGTAGACTACAAGTCTGCTGAGGGGAGGACTACACATCTGTTCATTTTTATGTTCCCTGAACCCAGAATTGCTGACACAAAATAAAATATTCACAAGTATTCCCTGAATAAACTGATGAATTGCTATTTCCAAAACCAAAACAAACAAAAGAATAAAGCAACACTCCCATAGAACTTGTCTTGTCATAAAGGATTCATTCTTTTTAAACATTTTTTGTCTTTATTTATTTTTAGAGAGAGCAGAAAGGAGGGAAAAAGAAAGAGAGAGGAACGTTGATCAGTTGTCTCTTGAATGGCCCCAACTGGGGACCTGGCCCATACCCAGGCATGCGCCCTTGTGGGGAATCGAAGCAGTGACCTTTTGGTTCACAGGCTGGCACTCAATCCACTTAGCCACACCAGTCAAGGCTCATTTAACATTCTTGATATATAATAAACAGTATTTCACGGAGCCATAAACATGAAGGTCTGTTTTTAAAGCAATCAATGGAAGATAAGCAATGGAAGAAGATATATCTGCTTCTTACCTATTTCTGATAGCTTATCAAAAGCTTATCTTTGTAGGAATGAAAACATATTTAAGGAGAAAAGTTATTAATATATGGGAGAAGTTACTTTATCTTTCAAGTTTCAAAAAGCTTACAACAGTTTTTAAAAAATATTTTGTTACAATTATTGGTACTGACTCTTCTTCAGTTTTATTCTACCCTACTTCACTTAAACCAGAGCTGCTCCTGATAAGCAGGCAGGATTTCCACTGAGGTCCACAGGAAATGCATATTTTACCTGTGGAGATTTTGGCCTAGATGGTCCTTAGAGATACAGAGTTCTGTGGTTAACACTGGTTTCCTAATTCCCATGTCTGTGCTATACCAGGGATCCACAATGTATGTGAAGTTACCTTTGCAAAAAAGTGAGGGTTCTCTTTCAAATTGATAGGACATGTTTAGAAAGAGTGAACTGATTTTCCCCACAATGTTTAGTGTCTTCTGTGTTCTAGTAAGTTCTGTGTTCTAATAAGTTTAAACTATGAACATCTTGATACAAAAACTACATGATTTTCTTACATCATGCATGCCTTCAACTTTAACTAAGAAAAGTGATCTTCCAACAACGTAGTGTTTGAACTATTTCTTACTCGAGATCCTATCCATTGCCATAGATAAATGTCTTGAATCTAACATTGGAGTTCGTTTCCCGGCCCCCCCCCCCCGACAGGGTAAAACTTTTAAAGTTATCATGTACTAAACATTCAAGGAGCCAGGCATTATGCTAAATGTTTTGCATAGTTACTGAATGTCACCACCAAATAACCTTTTTGACACCATCATTCCCATTGTATAGATGACAATACTAAGGTCTAGAAAAGCAAACTTATATACCCAAGCTTCTACAACTACCATAATCAATTACAGACTCAAGATTCAGACTCTGGTCTTTCTGACTTTAAAATAAACCTAAGCTCTAAATCAGTATATCACATTAATGATCTGTTGTACTTGTGTATTTTTCCCTGAATTAGATTAGATTGATTTCCCTTTACTTGAATAGATTAGAGCTGTGCTGTGAATGACTGATATCCTAGGATTGCCTTTAAATGTCTTAGGATGAAAAACTTAAGAAACTGGTGGAACAGAATGGAACAGATGACTGGAAAGTTATTGCCAATTATCTCCAGGTAAGTCAGTAAGTTTTTCTTTCTGTAAAAGGAAATCTTACGAAGATCTTTAAGTATGATATTTTAGGAGCATATATTAAAACATTACATATCTGTTCATATATAAGAAATAGAAGGAGAAATACATCACCCATAGCTTGTAGTGTGTATTATGATACATATAATTAGTGTATCTAAATATTATTATTAATGGATTTTATGACATTTAAATTTTTTTTTCATTTTATCTTTTCATTTGTTAGGACCATATAAATGCTCACTTTCATGATTTGTTATGTGGTAGACGACTAACTAACCTTGTACTATTTCCCCAAGTCACCTTCTTTTGAGTTTCCTGTGTTTGGTCAGAGCCATACTTCTGATGCTGCAGTTTAAAACTCTGGAGACCTTCAGACTGCCCTTGCTCTGCATCCCCCGCACCTAAGCGGCGGCCACGGGTTCTTGAAATCCTGTCGGCAGTCCCTTCTTTTCATTCTCCTCTCTGTTATTACCCCCTCTCCTCTTCCCTGGATGATTACAATGGCTTCCTGCTTAGAGTTTTCTACTTTTTTGTCCATTGGAGAGGGGGCTTCCAACAATGCAGCCGTACCCTATCTTCTCAAAGTCACCATCAGTGACCTCGTCTCACAAACCAAGTGCACTGCCCGGACCGGGCACACTCCCGTGCGGCTCCCACACAGAGCTCCAGTTCTGTTTCTGACTTCCTCTCAGAAAGAGCACACTCATTTGAACTCATTTCTGCTTTCCCTCTGGGCTCTTGTCCCGGCTGATGCCACTGCCTAGAATGTTTTGCATAGTTGCTCCATGTCCTTCAAAGTTCCTATCAAGAGCTTTTCCCAGACTCCTCCCAAGGAAACATAATTTCTCCTCCTAAGGAGGCATTTCTTTTCCCACCTCAATGTCATTTTGCATTGATTTCTTCTTGCCTATGAATCAAATTCTGCCTTCTACTCATTGTATATTTGCCTTTTACTACTTATAAGATTACAAGCTCTTATAAGGTAGGGCCTATCTTTATTCATCATTTGAAATATTAACAGTTGTGTCCCTAAATTAAAGCACATCTCTTAGTTTGAATGGGAGTCATGAGAGCAGGTTTCCATAAAAGCTCAACCTTAATATTGAATCTCTAACAAGGCTTAATCTCAGTCCTAGGTACTTCCACATGCAACAGACTGAGATTAACATTAAGTTACATTCATGGCCATATGTGCAATATGATGGTCCTTTTGTTCATATGGCAGGATGATTGCCTGCCCTCAGGAGGCAGAACTTCTCACTTAAAATGCAACTTTGATATCTTATTTGTGTGTTTTTTAGCTATAAGTAATGAGGGACAGATGAGCTCTCCAAACATGCCCTTGTATGTTCTTTTTTTAAGATTTAATTTATTTATCTTTAGAGAGGAAGGGAAGGAGAGAAGGAGAGAAATATCAATGTATGGTTGCCTCTCGTGTGTCTCCTGCTGGGAACTGGCCTGCAACCCAGGCATGTGCTCTGACTGGGAATCAAACTGCAGTTGTTCGGTTCTCAGGCCTGCATTCAATCCACTGAGCTACACCAGCCAGGGAAACATGCCCTTGTATGTTCTTGAACATATTCACTGTATGTTATCTGTGCATGATTCATGTTATAACAAAATCTTCATGTGCACTTAGCACATTATATCTATACGACAACGTATACTCTTGTTTGTCTAGAATCGAACAGATGTGCAGTGCCAGCACCGATGGCAGAAAGTACTAAACCCTGAGCTCATCAAGGGTCCTTGGACCAAAGAGGAAGATCAGAGAGTAAGTTCCTTCTTCACTGGCAGGTGAATCACAATTATGAGTATCCCCCAGATGTCCTTGTCGAATGTTTCCTGACTTGAAGAAACAGGTAAAGTGTGCAAACAGGAAGCAGAGGACTCTATTCCTATATTTTCAATGAATGAAAGCAGACTTTTAGAAATTTTTCTAAAGAACTTGTAACAGATTGATTACACTGACTCATTATATAACATTAAAACATAGGTTATTTTTGTGTGTTTATCTGAAGGTGATAGAGCTTGTACAGAAATACGGTCCGAAACGTTGGTCTGTTATTGCCAAGCACTTAAAAGGGAGAATTGGAAAACAATGTAGGGAGAGGTGGCATAACCACTTGAATCCAGAAGTTAAGAAAACCTCCTGGACAGAAGAGGAAGACAGAATTATTTACCAGGCACACAAGAGACTGGGGAACAGATGGGCAGAAATCGCAAAGCTACTGCCTGGACGGTAATCATATGTCAAAAAATATATTCATTGGGAAGAATGAGGGAGTGGGTATTGAATAGTCGGTTTTAAATGTACGGTGAGTGGATTACATTCCATCAGTCGTGTTTTATTAGTTAAACCAGATCCATAGCTTTTAGAAAGAACCAGAGGAGATCTTAGAGTTTATCTGGTTGAGCACTGAGAGAATCCACCCAGTGGGGAGCCTTGGGCCAATTCAGTGGACTTTCCTCAGCCTCAGTTTCCCCATGTTTCAAATGAGTAATAACATAGTTCATGGGGCCAATGTTAATATCAAGTAACATACATTTCAAAGCACTTTGTAAACTACAAAACTCTAAACATAGAGAAGGAAACTGAGAGGGGCAGGTAGTCTGTGATCTGACTTCACAGAGCCAGTTAAATGGCCAGAAGGACCTTGGCCACCATTTTTCTGACGCTAGTATTTCATTATACCACTTGGCTTTGTTTTGGTTTTTTTTGAAGAAAGAGATAGTGTTTTTATCCAATTAACATGACTGCTCCCAGGTTTTTAAATAATGTCAGTGTTATGCTTTCTTTCTAATGAACAGAGCACGAAAATGACCTCATTATGAGGGATATGTATGGAAGCTCATTTTTGTCTATTTTCCCTATTTAAACAACCATAACAGATTTTTTTGTAAAGCTTACATAAAATAATATGTAAGTCAAAATATTTTAAGTAGTTTTTCTTCTTGAGCTTTATAATCCAAAAGCGGAGGAAGCATCATTGCAAAGAAGGCCATGGTCCCCGTGATTTATGTTGTGATGCTCCAAAGCATCACAGAATGAGCTCAGTGAATTCATGAGACTGATAAAAGGATTCCTTTTCTCCCATATGGTCTGAGAGGATGTGCTGTTGATTCTTCTAAAAATTTAAGGGGCAATTGAACTTCCTCTTTTTTTAGCTTGCATTCCCCACCCCCTTCAAAATAAAAAAAGAGGCTTAAAACGGTTCTTTTGAATTGAGAAACTGTTTTCCTGAGAATTGAAAGACCTTAGTAAAAATGGTTTGCAGTTGGAAAATACATTGGAAGTTAGCATCTTTCCCTTCTGGATCCCATTTTCTATTCTCACCTCTGTCTGGTTAACAGAACAATTTGAGGTCATTTTCAACAAGTGGGAGTTTTTTCCACTCATAATTTCTGGCTAGTGCTATTGGAGATAAATCGAAGACGGTGAGGGGGCAGCAGCATCACTATTGTCCCCCCGACTTCACTTGGAGCCTGCTGTGGCATCTGTGTGGGCCCCATTAAGCCAAACTCAAAGGAGCAGCTTTCTAGGACAGCAGGGACTTGGAGTCGTATCAGAGTCTTGTGCCACAGTCAGAATAAACGTGAAGTGCTGTTGTACTGAGAATATTCTTACCAAAGAAAGAAAATGGTTAAAGGATTTCAATATTCATAGAAAACTACAACTCCATATTAGGTAATGAAGAGCTGTAAATGGATTTTTTTAATTAGGTAATAGGGGAAGCATGATTTTAGAATGCAGAAATGACTGAAATGATTAAAAAGAAAAGGCATTATTGGTGAACCAATAGAAAAGGCCTCTGTTAGAAACAGTTTTCTGTCAATGAAGTCTAATCTGAATTGAAATTTTTGTTTGTGAAATTTGTATGTGATATATTTCTGTGCAGAACTGATAATGCTATCAAGAACCACTGGAATTCTACAATGCGTCGGAAGGTTGAACAGGAAGGTTATCTGCAGGAGTCTTCCAAAGCCAGCCAGCCAACTGTGGCCACAAGTTTCCAGAAGAACAGTCATTTGATGGGTTTTGCTCATGCTCCACCTTCAGCTCAACTCTCCCCAACTGGTCAGCCCTCAGTGAACAACGACTATTCGTATTACCACCTTTCTGAAGCACAAAACGTAAGCCACTCCTGAGAATTTTATTTAGCAAGAGAAATGGTTATTTTAACTCTAGGTAATGCTACCACCCTGCAGTTTCATGCTTTTCAGAAAGCATTTATAAACAGGTCATGGGGTAGATATTGTTCTTCCTGATATGTTCCTGGAAACGAGGGTAGTAAATGATTTGTCCAGGGCTACACAACTCACAGAGACAGTGCAGACTAGAATCCAAGTTGTTCCATTCTACCTCTGCCTCTAATCTAATTTGAAGTTAGGTTTTAAATGTAAACTTACTTAAGGTCCTGTTGAAGAAGAAGGCAGCTGTAGTCAAATTCTTTTCTCTCCCACAATGAAAGGGAGTGTAATTACATTTAAAGAGGAGATAGATCGACACTGAAATTCAACAGATCATTTTTAAGTTCCATTCTGGTGGTGATGGAACAGAAATGTCTTGACTTACTCATTCTGCGTTTACCTTCTTACTCCACATCTGGAGCAGTTTTGCGGCGCTATTCCCTGGTATCTCCTTTTATCTCCCTTGGATCGTGTGATCCCTTCTTCATTTCCCAATATAAAGAAATGTTCTTAGTCAGTGGAAAGAGAAGAATAAAGAGGAAAAAATTGAGAAACTCTAATCTTAAAATTAACAATAAGAAGTGGTGTAATTTACCCAAGAATATAGAGCTCATATGCAAATTCTATGCAAAATATATTTGTAGAGTTTTGAGATGTATTTGACTACAGACTTTCCAAAAGGTCTCAGGTGAGTGAAGTACCACGAGAGATTTTGTGCTACTTACTAAAGCTCATATTATTCCCAGAGAAATATTTTTATTGATAAATAGCTAATGCCATAAGTTTTTCCCACCAAAACTTCCATGCATTTATGAATGTATTTTAGATTTCTCTTTCATTGTGTTTTTCTCTAATTAAGGAATACTTCCTGCCAGGATTGATGAACACTTTAAATTTCTTTTACTATGTTGCTTTAGCTATTTAGCTGTTGTTAAAGGCTTGGCTAGAACTTCAAAATAGAAGGGGTTTTTTTTAATGTGAATTTGATCAGTGGAGCTTTTTTTTCCTTATCCTTGAGCAAAACCTCAGGAAGCCAAGTCCCCTGGAGCACGTGCAACCATGAATGACTCGTCCTTTGTTCTGCCTTTCTGTCTAGGTCTCTGGTCACGTCCCATATCCTGTAGCGCTACATGTCAATATAGTCAATGTCCCTCAGCCAGCCGCCGCAGCCATTCAGGTAGGACTATTTTAAGGTCATTTCATAAAGAAACCCAGCTGTTTAAGGTACTGTTTTGAGACATGCTTTATTTCTTTCTCCTAAACACTTATTGTCACCTGACCAACTGAAATAAAAGGAGAAGGGATGAGTGGAGAGGTGGCAGGAGCTCCAGCCAGCCACCTACCACTCTTCACTTCTTGAGTGAGCTTGCTCAGGAATTCTGGGATGCTCTGATGTTATAAACAACTCATCAGTCAGCATCCACCGTAGCCTCAGATGTCCCATCAGCCCCCTACATCTAGAGTAACGTGCACAGAGATTTCTACGGCTGCCACATTCAGCTGGCATTGGCTTCATGCCAGGTTCTATTACTGTCCCTTCATGACCACGGACCACAGCCATTGTGTTTACAGCTTCCAATCAGACCCTTGTCTTCCTTCCTCCCTTAACTTTTCATTTCAGAGACACTATAATGATGAAGACCCCGAGAAAGAAAAGCGAATAAAGGAATTAGAGTTGCTCCTAATGTCGACTGAGAATGAACTCAAAGGGCAGCAGGCGCTACCAGTAAGAATGTCACTGGGTGCTTAAATGGGGGCAGGGGGTAGCAACTTTATTCCAGTGCTGTTCTGTGTCTTTTCCCTTTTCTTCTAAATAACACATAATCAAGACTCTGAGTATCTATTAACAATGTTTAAACATAAGAAGTCGCTTGTGATAAAACACAGTTGATATCAGAATGTTGACTAAATTGGAAGTAGTCCTCTATGTTACAGTAGAAACTCAACGTCTATTAGTGATTATCCTCACTGATTTTTTTCTTTAGAAGGACTATACTCAATTCAAAGACTATCAGAGATCAAAGGAATATAAATATGTTTTTTTTGCAAAACATTGTATCTATATGATGCCTGTTCTTTTCCTTTTCATACTTTATAATTTCAAACATGATTTGATGCATGTTCAGTGTATACCTTTGAAAAAGATGTACACACTCTCCATCAATAACATTAGCTGCTCTCTGTTGTTTGTTGGTATGAAAGCTGTGCTTGACCATTCTTGAATTTTGACATCTATTTTAGTGATTGGGCAGCAAACTGGGAAAGCAGCTTGTAATTTACAACATAAGTAGTTAACCAGCCAAGAGAATAAAAGAGATATGATACAGAGTAAATGTTTTTTTGGTTGAATACTAGAATGATTATATGCTTATGTTGGCTTGACCACCTTTTAACTTGAATGTTTTGCAATTTCTCCTGTTGCGTGGTCATGCTGAAAGGAGGCTTCTGTTACTTTGCTCTTCTGCTTTCCTAACCACGTTGATTTGGCAGCCCTTCACTGCATCAACGCAATCCTTAGCATTCCAAAGGGACAGAAGCAACAAGAATATATGCAGATAAAAGCAACTTTTAACTCTTGCATTTTCCAGTCTTATGGAGGTTAGAAAGAGAATAGGAGGATTCTTAATTCACAGCAAACATTTATGATCCTATTGGAAATTATAGTAAAGTAGATTTTTAATTCCATGTGAAAGTTGTGCTTTATAACACAGTCCCTTTGTTTGCATTTTTAACAAAGGGAGGACAATTAAGGTAATTGTGCAGATGACAGACTACATGACTATCAAAAACCAGGGTCTTGCATTGATAAAAGGAAACATCTTGACAACTGTTTTATAGGCGCAAGTTTTGGATGATGCAACTACTTTTATCTTTTCTCCAACAGCGTCTGATACCTTGTGCAACTTTATTGCTAAGTTCCTTCTCCCTTTCTTCTCCCCGCTCTTTCTTTCTTCCCCCACCCCCTCCTTAGACACAGAACCACACATGCAGCTACCCCGGGTGGCACAGCACCACCATTGCCGACCACACCAGACCTCATGGAGACAGTGCACCTGTTTCCTGTTTGGAAGAACACCACTCCACTCCCTCTCTGCCTGTGGATCCCAGCTCCTTACCTGAAGAAAGCGCCTCTCCAGCAAGGTGCATGATCGTCCACCAAGGAGCCATTCTGGATAATGTTAAGAACCTCTTAGAATTTGCAGAAACACTTCAATTTATAGATTCTGTAAGTAGAATTGTTAAGGCAAGTTAATGGTTTTAGAAGGGGAATGAGGAGACCCATTTCTCAAATCATTGCCATTTTCTATAGTAACTATCATGTTACTATCATATATTAGTGTAAAGTTAAATGTATGATTTTAGTCTTTGTGTGTATGTTTTTTCAAAGATCTGGTTTCATACACTGCCCAGATGAAAGTTAGCTTTTCACACATTTCCTTCAAAATGCATCTTTTTTAAAATAGTAAAGTTAATGACCTATAAGTAGAGCTTGGGTTATGGGAATGATGTTTTGAGTTATTTTTTTAATCTTTTAATTTGTTTACTTTGTGGTTCCCTAGAATTGTGCTTTCCTTTTGAGTAGCACGTTAAAAATTATGTTTACTCAGAGCTTGAAGCAATCTTTCAAAATGCTTGAAGTGGTGATAAGTTCACTAGTGGTGCATGGCTTTCTCCACAAAACATTGATTATTAATTGAAACAAACCATGTCAGGGGAACAGACTTGAGTTCAGCCCCTCAAAAGCAGACAATTTATTTCCTTTGTTTTCCAGTTGGTCAAAAAGCCTTTATTGTATGCCCATCAGGCAGTGGATGAACACTGCCCAATGTGCCGTCCAGAAAAGGGTTTCTTTTTGCTTTGGAGTGCATGCAAATGCTGGGGTAACCCCCGGGCCCTGCATCACTGAGGCAGGACCAGCCTTAGGGCAACATGGCAGACCTACGTGCAGCGTATCAGAACAACTGTTAATCCTGGAGCTGTTGCTCAAGAAATCAAACGAGGGGGCTGGGCATGCGTTTTCTTTGCATTCAGCATCTCTTTCTCAGTGCCATGTTTCAGGTGATGGCACACATCATGCACACACTGTCTCAGAGTTCTGTGCCTCCCACATTGTTTCAGGATTCTTCATCATGGTGTGACCTCAGCAGTTTTGAACTCTTTGAAGAAGCAGACTTTTCACCTAGCCAACAGCACACAGACAAAGCCTTACAGCTCCAGCAAGGAGAGGGCCATGTGAATAGACCTGCAAGAGAGCCTAGCAAACGTCAGTTGAGTGAGGGTTCACTTGGCCCGCTCAAGCCCGTACCTCCCGCGAGGCACAGCACAATTCCACTGATCATCCTTCGAACAAGGAGGGGCCATGCCAGCCCCTTAGCCACTGGTGACTCTAGGTCCTTCATACTTGCTGATGTCAGTAGTTCAACTCCCAATGGGTCCCCTGTCAAAAGCCTGCCCTTCTCCCCCTCACAGGTAGAGCACAGTTTCTGCACAGCTGTTACTAATTTTCAACAGACGACTGAGCTTTAACAATCTAGAAACTAATCCTTTGGAACAAATGACTAATTGCTGCGGCCCTCACTGATTTCATTCCATCGTTGAATCTAGCTGTTGCTAAGTCATACTTCCTCCCCAACTTCAGGCTCTCTGTAGGCTGACTGATGATTTTGTCACAATTCTCTCTTTTGGGTGATATGAAAGATGGTTAGTTGCATGAGATGTGCTTGTATTTCCTTCACCACTAGAGTTTAATGTTTCTATTCCTTTTCTTTTATCCCTCCCTTTAAAAACTTTAACAGGTTTCTGCCTTTTTGCTCACTTGCCATGTGGTTCACTGACCCAGGGGGGGAGGGAAGCAAACTATGGTTGGGTTGCAGCTAGAAATTTTAAAGGTTCCACTCCATCTTTAAGTGGAACAGTGTGGGAAGAGGATGAGGACAAATGCTTAAGGAAAACCATTTATGTTTTAATTTTCTCTTCTCAACATTGGCTCTTTGGAGTTGTGCCATAACATTTTATTAGCATAGTTTTTGCCAATGAATAAATATTCTTGTTTCATGCAGTATTTTTAAAAGCATGAAAATTTTACTTCATATCAGAAACTTGTGTTTCTTAATTATTAAAATAATTGAAGTTAATAGATAATTTGGCGCTTTAAAACACTTTTCTAATAATGTTTTGAGTTTGTGTTAAGGACAGCTTTGAACAGATGGTGCACTCTCCAAAACAATCAGCTTGCATTTTTGCTTGAATTTTCCAAGTTGTGTTCTGGATAATATTCATTCTGCATGATTCTAATAGGTGTTCCAGAAAAACATCTACATATATAAGTATATAGGTTTGGGAAGTACTGTATCGCATTAAGTTAAAAATTGATTTCTTTACTGCAGGGTCTCCCATGATTTTTTAATACACTGATGGATACTGTGAATTTCCAGAAGGAGATTATGATATGTGTGTTTTCCAAACTTATTTTACTTTGGAACTGTTTGAGGAACACCTATTATTTTCCCAGGATATTAATGTTCTAAGAGACACTACCCATTCATTTTTCAAGAGTTTCTCCACACAGTGTAAACTTTCTATAATAATGTCTCATAGATCATTAAAGAGAGAAAAACAGAGTATAAGAGAGAAACAATCATTACTTTCCAAAAAGATCGCTTTTGTAATGTTTTTAATTCTCAGTGTAAGAGTGCATCTCGTTTCTTTAATGGCAAGTGCAATTTTTTGACAATATTTTCTTAGGGTTTTGTAAGTTTCCCAACATTGGCCCTCAATTTTGTTTCTTGGGAGTCACACTCCAAATCTTGGTGCTCAATTAAAATAAAACAATCCCCTGTCCAGTAAATACCACACATTGTCAGCATCTTCATTATTTTACAGAATGGGTCAGTAAAACATACTTGCTTGTTATCATGATGTGATTTTTAAATTGGGCTGAATAAAGAATGACTGTTGAAGTAATTGTTTTTCTTCCCATATTTAGTTCTTAAACCCTTCCAGCAATCACGAGAACTTAGACTTGGAAATGCCTTCTTTAACTTCCGCCCCTCTTGGTGGTCACAAATTGACTGTTACAACTCCATTTCATAGAGACCAGACTGTGAAAGCTCAAAAGGAAAATACTATGTAAGTCCTTGGTTCAAGAATGAAGTTTTTTGTCTTATTTACTTCTACTCAATTAATGGAATATAGTCCCCACATATCTGTTCCACGTGTGTGTGTTCCACATCTGTCCTGGGCCTGTTACAACTCCCTAAAGGTGGAAGGCGGGAGGGTAAACTAAATTAGCTTTTGGAGTTCACGCCAAATTTTCCTGTATATGCAGAGGTGGTTTTCATATAACTTTTCCACTCAGTTTTCCTGTTTGATCAATAAGGCCTTTTCTTCTTCACTGAAAATACCTTTTCTTTTTGATTACAAGCCTCGGAATAAGAACGAGTATGGTTCTTTTCAGTTCATATCATTTTAATCTTATTTTTTTTCCTTTTGAAATGTATCCATAGAGAGGGCCTCTTCTGACATCACCAGTAATATATGATTAGAAGCCTAAGAGTGATTAAGCAGTCTTTGTATTTAATAAAGGCTTAACACATTCAAAGAATATCAGAGAAGATCAATATGAAAACCTTGAAAACCCTTCATCTTATTATTTCCAAGTACAATAAGTACGTCTTAAATGATTAACATGTTTTCTATGGTGGGTCCTGTTTGAATGAATAGATAAAATTGATTGGTAAATGATGTCAGATCTTCATGATGCTTATGGTCCTTTTAAAGACCTGAGCCAGTATGCGTGTCTTCAGATCAGTTGAAAAAAGATGGAAAATATTTTAATAGTCTTATGGGGTACAGTACTTGGGTGTATTTGAAAATATGTAATATATTTAATATCTTTTTCTTAACAATATGTTTAATATCTTTTTCTTATCTTTTACTAATTGTTTCTTAACAATTATATGGTGATTAGTGTATGAGTAATCACCATACCCAATTTCATATCAATAATAGTCTGTTGTGTTTAGTAGAAAAATACTAAATGTAGTAGGTGGAGCAGTGTAAGGAACGTGTATTCTTTCTTGAACCAACACTTGTTTTCTTTTTAAAGTTTTAGAACTCCAGCTCTCAAAAGGTCAATCCTAGAAAGCTCTCCGAGAACCCCTACACCATTTAAGCATGCGCTTGCAGCTCAAGAAATTAAATACGGTCCCCTGAAGATGCTAGTAAGTGTTGGCAAAGTTCTTGGGTTCAGTTGGTACATGAATTCAGACAAAAATTTTCTTCTGATGCCAACATTCCCGCTCTTCCCTTCAGCCTCAGACACCGTCTCATCTCGTAGAAGACCTACAGGATGTGATCAAACAGGAAGCTGATGAATCTGGAATCGTTACTGAGTTTCCAGAAAATGGACCACCTTTACTGAAGAAGATCAAACAAGAGGTAAATCCAAGGCCCCTCTGTAAGGAACAGGCTGTGAGTCCTGCTCCCTTTACTCCTTGGGGTCGGTGTGATACTCTGGCATCTGCGCTGTGTAACAGCACCACTTTCCATACCAGATGCTGTTCAGAGGTACTGCCAGACGGCAGCTTGGTGGCCTTCATTTGGGAGGCCGAGCCACTAATATCTACGTCATGTTTTGAACAGAAACATGCTGGAGAAGATAAAGAAAGAGAAGGAAGCAGCTTTTTAACTATTCTTTCATCACTGCCATATAAATGGGCAGATGATGGACACACAAATATTTAACTTTCGAGAAATCATGGAGAATCGAAATTTAAGTTAAAATAATAGCATCTTTAATTCATAATATAAAAGACAGGGAATCTAACTTTCAAGGATCAAAATCTTAGCTTGGTGGCAAGAAATGTTTCTAATAGGTTAGACATAGTACCTCTTGAATTTATTTGTATATTAGGGTAAGTATTTAAAAGACTGGCCAGACATCTATTCTTTTTATTCCAGCCTAACTGAGATGGGATGAAAAAAGTTGTAAAATATTTAAAGTGTACAATATGATGATTTGATATGTGTGTACATTATGAAAGAGTTCTCCCCCATTGAATTCATTAACATATTCATCACCTCGCCAATTTTCCCTTTTTTGGTGAGAACATTTGAATACTCTTCTCTTAGAAGATTTCAATTATACAATACAGTGCCATCAATTATAGTTACCTTGTTAAGTGTTACCTCCTTAGACCTTATCTTACAGAAATTTACTCTTGAGTGTAAATGTTTCGTGGGAAATTCTAGTTCTAGAAACAACAAAGTACTTCCTGTTTGCTTTCAGGTGGAATCTCCGACTGATAAAGCAGGAAACTTCTTCTGCTCCAGCCCCTGGGAAGCGGAGAGTCTGAGCACTCAGCTGTTCCCACAGGCCTCACCTGTGGCAGATGTGCCGGTAAGTGCAGGCCTGTGCTGGGAGCTGTGGGTGCCCTGCAGAACTTGGTGTGGCGTGCGGGCTTCTGTGGTGTCAGCACCCAGAGGGGGGTCCAACCCTGTGGCATCTCTGGGCCGTGCTGGAAAAAGAGTTCTCCTGGGCCACACATTAAATGCACAGATACTAATGAAAACTGATGAGCAAAAAAAAGGTTTTCATAAGTTTACAATTTTGTGTTGGGCCATATTTACAGCCATCCTCGGCCGCAGGAGGCCCATGGGCCATGGGTTGGTCACCCCTGCTCCAGATACTCTCTCACATGATTCTTTTCTTATAATGATTAATGTTGAATATAAAGTCGAGGTTCTGTTTATGTGTTGGAAATAGATTCTGTTATATTGTAGATTTTGTGGCTATTCATAATCTTAGGATTTGAAAGTCCTTTTAAAAAATCTGCTGTTAAATATATATTTTTCCATAAAAACGAAATGTTAATTTTTACATTTTCTTTTAATTTATTTATTTGTCTTCTAATTTTAGTGTGTCCTCCTTGTTAAGTTGTCACTTGGTTGGTCCTGTGCAGCGTAGTGCTAACCGCAGTGTCTATAACTAGGTGCTCCTTATTGCACCCTGTATTGGATTGCTTTGATCACCACCAGTTTTAAATAGACTTTATTGTTGTAGTTTGGGGCTCACAGCAAAGCTGAGCAGAAGGTGCAGAGATTTTCCCATATACACACTGCCCCACACATGCACAGCTTTCCTTGTTAGAAACATCCCCTACTAGAGTGGTACATTTGTGAGAAGTATCACCCAGAATTCATAGTGTGTATTAGGTGGTAGTACGCATTTTGGAAATGGCATCACCCAAGGGCATGATGCCTTGCCTTGGGCAAAGGTGTTATGATGGCATCCACCCCTACAGCACTGATATCACTGAGTAGTTTCACTGCCCTAAAGATTCTCCGTGCTCCACCTGTTTAACCCATCTTCCCCCTCAGCCCTTGGCAGCCACCGATCTTTGGTTTTACCTTTTCTGGAATGTCTTATAGTTGGAATCATACAGTACATAGCGTTCTTGGACTGGCTTCTTTCACTTAATAACATGTACTTTTGATTCCTGCATGTCTCCTCATGGCTTGATAGGTCATTTCTTTATAACACTTAGTTACCCATTTTTAAAGTTTGTAATTTGTAAATAGTTATCCTTTATGGTGAATCAAAGCTAGTAACAGTTGGTAATATTTATTCAATGTGAACTAAGTGGTAAGTGCTATTCTAAGAGCTGTAGATACATGAATTCATGTATGCCTCTTAACAACCTTACATGTTGATAACATCATTTCCATTATACCAGCTGAGAAATTGAGGTGCAGGGAGGCTTTGTCACTTGCTCCACGTTATATTGTTGTACGTAGGGTTCTCGGGTTACAACTCAGAAAGTCTAGTTTTCAACGACATCCTTTTAACTGCTATACTATACTATACTATACTGCCACTAATTTGTAGCTTTGAAATATTTTGTACCAATATATAAAAAATAAGTAATTCCCTCACCAGAGATTAGTAAACCTTTCATTTTTTAAAAGCTGGTGTTCAACAATTCATTTAGCAGGTGTTTTCTGAGTCCCCACCTCACACCTAACTTGTCTTCGTGCTGGCGCTTGCTGCCACGGGTCAGGTTAGGACTCAGCTGAGTTCCCCTTTTCACTCACCCAGGAGAGAATCTCCAGCGATACCTGTGCTTCTTCCCACTAACGTTCACATCACAGCCATCTACTCTGTACAGTGTCAGAACCATGTCGGCTCTCGCATTATCCAACCCTATTTAAATTTCAAATTATTCTCTTTCCCTTTAGAATATTCTTACCAGTTCCGTTTTAATGACTCCAGTGTCAGAGGATGAAGACAATGTTCTCAAAGCATTCACAGTACCTAAAAACAGGTCCCCGGCGAATCCCTTGCAGGTAATTGCTATTCCCACATTGGTTTCTTACAAGCCGTTCACTGAAAAACTTTTTGTTTTGATTTTTTTAAAAAGATTTTGGACACAGAGGAATGGCACTTTTTAAAAAAATTTATTTTTAGAGAGAAGGGAAGGGAGGAAGAAAGAGAGGGACAGAAACATTGATGTGAGAGAGAAACATGGATCGGTTGTCCATGGCACATGCCCTGACCAGGGACCAGACCTGCAACCCAGGCATGTTCCCTGACCAGGAATCAAACCAGCGACCTTTTGCTTTGCTGGACAATGCCCAACCAGCTGAGCCACATGGGTCAGGGCAAAGGAGTGGTACTCCTAAACGACTCTAGATATCTAAAAAAAAAACCCTTAAATTCCTCATCGCCACTCATATGGAACACAATGGAAATTTTCCTTGGAGCAGGTTCCCAATGCATGATGAAGTGAGGCATTTTCCACTGTGTCTGAGACTAAGATCATGTATTACACGGTGTCCATATCTCCTCCGCTTTTCAATATTCTGTAAAAAGTTCATTGCCATAGTTTACTTTTTGTCCCCCCAATTTCTTATGCTCCATGAAAACTCAGACCCTGTTTAGATTTTAAATGAAGAGTGCAATGAACTAACTAAAAATAATTAGTTTATCTGACTATCAGAGTAAGAAAGTCAAGTGTCAATGTCATGTGGTCAGCCTGTTTTTGACCCTCTGCTGCTGGGTTTTAACATAAAAGATATTTCCTTTGTAACTCTAAAGTCGGCCTATGTTCGTGAAATACAACAAATTCCAGATTAATCCTGTGCCAGATGTAAATAAGAATGCAAATTTTCTTCCCTAAATTATTTAAAGCAGTTCCCAAACATTAAATAGCCCCAAACCCAGCCACCTGCAGAGCCCTCACCTCCATCCCCCTGAGCTACACTGAGAGGAACTTCACAAACCCTGGGGCATATAAAGAACCTGGATTCAGAAGCAGACAGTCATGTTTGGACTGTGAGTTTACGTGTACTGTAGTGGATGTGTGCTTGGAGAGCTTGCCCTTTCTTTAAATGGCTTTCCTATCTTTGTGGTAGGCCTTCTCTCTCCAAATTGTATCTTAAAACATTCCCTGTTTAAGTATCTCTGATAGGTAGCATGGTTTTTTTAATGATACAAATAATGCAATGCAAGTAATACAGCTGGAAGGGCTACAGCAGAGTGAATGCACAGTATTTTGATGCTTCATTCAGTCAGATTGCTTTCCTTGTGGCCGCTATGGGACCCACCTGCTTTGGTAAAAGGTGACTGTTGCCTGGAGTGTGGATAGGGAATCTCAGTGCTTGTGGGGAACCTGCAGTGGGGCCTGAGGCAGTCAGGCCTTGGTGGGCCCCCTGTGCAGAAGATTCAGAGCATCACAAAGAATTGGGAGATGGCAAAGGGCCGGAACCCACTGAGGCATAAAAGGGACACAGAAGACGAGTTAGAAGGATGTCAAGGCAAAGGTGGCTCTTTCAGAATTCTACTTGAAATTGGTGGTGCTGATCCTGGCACCAGGGAAATGCCTTTCCATTTTCCTTTCCCTCTTCCTAAATGTCTTGGCCCTTGGTTCCCACAGCATGGAGTTTGATTAAGTGCTGTTCTTAAGCTAGATTAAGTTTTATATATGTTTTATCACTTAGCCTGGGACTCAACCTACATTTACAGTAGTATATAAAAAATTTCAAATTTTCTAAATTTGAAAGAGCAAATGTGAAAATATATTTGGGGACATTTATCATCAAAACTCTTGGTTATTTTTCTAAAATCAAACCTAAAACTTTCAGCGTGACCAAGAAATGTTCAGCCAAAACCACTGAGCTGAACATGGTACTGATATAAAATACATGATGTATAAAGTTGGAGGGTTGTCAGTATAGTTGACCCAGGGATAACGTGACTTTGCACTGCTCAGGTCCACTTACACACAGATTTTTTTTTCAATAAATTCATCACTGTAGACCCTCTGTATCCTTGGGTTTCATACCCAGGGATTCACCCAACTTGGACCAAAAACCGTATTTTCAATCTGCAATTGACTAAATCTGTGATTGCTAAGGACTGACTATGTGCATTTATCTATACCATTTTACATAAAGGATCTGAGCATCCATGGATTTTTGTATCCATGGGGGTCCTGGAACGGTTCCCCACGGATACTGAGGGACGACTGAGTTTTGAGAGCATCAAAAGTTATACACTGATCTTCATCTGTGCATGGGTCAGTGCTCTGGACCCCATGTTGTTAAAGGGTCAGCTGTACTTGCAAAATGTTGGTTGTCCAACTTTTTACATTCAAGTTTTTATTGCTATTGCATTTTTGAAAAAAAAAACAGTATTGAACTTTATTATCAACATATTTATATTTCATGAAAACTCCACTTCTCTTGGAAACTCAGAATTAAGTAGTAGTTTTATTTTATTAATCTATATTTCTAGCATAGGAGTGAATTTCATTTGGCACTCTACAGATTCTGATATCGGTGTGTGGAGATTAACCAAGTTCGCACATCACAGGGTGAAGGTGATAGTTGTCAGTTCTACTAATGTTCAGTTCAAGTAACTGACACCAAAAGTTGGTTTTAAGGTTGATGCTTCCATCTGCACTTTGTGGTTTACTGATTTATGCTGCTCAAGTATATTTTAATAATCCCTTATAATAGATAACTTATTTTAAGAAATACTTATTAAATGAGTGAATGCTGCACACCAAATATCTCTTTTGTTTTGTGTCATGGAGATCTGGCTTCTGATACAATAGAAATATGTGATTTCTAAAATGTTTCAAAGTTTTATGATAAATATTGGAAAATGCATCAAGTAATTTTAAATATTTAAACATATACTGCCCATATTTCATATAATCCTAATTCAACAATATTTGTATAGGTTTTTATGCAATTTGGTAACTTTGTTTTATTAAAACACTACTTGATTGTATGTTTCCATTGATAATTTGACCTAATTAGATAGATTTCTCAGAGATGCTATTAGTGAACATACTGTGCCTTTGCTAAATGACATGGCTATTTGACTTACGAGTACTTTTTATAACCTATTACTTCTGTAATCTGTACTGATAATAAATCAAATATTAAGTGAGATATTTAGCCAAACTATATATTTTTATCATAGTGCTTTTAATTATGCTTCCTAAAATATTTTAAAATTTTGATACATCTAAGAACAGTTTATTGAAGACTACAGTAACTGTGCAATGCTGTATTTAATTATCCCTGGCTTAATTAAATATGGCAATAACACTTTAGCAGAACAATTACTGTTTTTGAGGCTCAGATTCTGGCCTTTTATCGTTCAGTTTCAAATGTACATATAAATATACATGCTTATACAGAAATATGTATAATACATGTAAAATTTTAAAATGGGAAATACAGGAAGCTATGAGTTTAACATTTCATTGTGATAAATCTCAAACATACATAGAAGTACAGAGAATATTCTATGATTTAGACTTAAAAATTATTAACATTTTGCCATATTTATTTCATCAAATTTTTATGAAGCATTCTAAAATTCCAGACAATACAACATTTTACTTTTATGTATCTCTAAAAGAAAAGACATTTTCCTATACACCCTAATACTTCTCTCATGCATTATTATTAACAATACTTCCTTGATATTCTAATTCTTGGGCTATACTTAAAATTCCCCATTATTCCAGAAAAGAATTGTTTTATTATTTGCTTGGTCAAAATTGAGACAGTTTCACACATTGCATTTGATTCTTAAGTCTCTCGATCTTTAAACCAGTGTCCAGTAGAAGCTGTGCAGTGACAGAAATGCCCCAGGTGCTGCTGTCCAGTATTCTAGCCAAGAGTCACGTGTGGCTATTGAGCACTTGAAATGTGCCTAGAGCCATTGAGGAACAGAATTTTTAACTTTATTTCATTTAAATGGCTTTAATGAAATAGCCACATGTCCTCCTTCCTTTCTTCTTGCAAACCAGCCATTTCCCCAAGGTGTGCTGACCATCCTGTGCATGGAGAGACCAGAAGCAGGGAGATGAGTGTGGCTGTTTGTTATTGGGTTGCTGTTGAGAAGCAATAGATTTTAATAAATCGGAATTCTCCATCGATCCCCTAATACATGAACTGTAATGCCAAACTAGAAGCTGTTGTTAGCCATTAGGCACACAAAATGTTGTTTGTTTTTTAAAATGATTTATGCTTCATTTTTTCAAAAGTAATTTGTGCTGCCTGCATAATCTTGTTATGACTTGGACTTGTTTTCTTTTTAAGGTGCTTTAACTTTCATTGTAAAAGCAGGCAGGGATTCATAACATAAATGTTCTGAGACCTTTTTGATATTTATGTCTTTTGTGTAGCTCAGAATATATGAGATTTCCATGCTGGGCAGTCATTATTCCACATTGTATGGGGGTAGGATGGAGTCCAGAAGCTCAAAAATGATCACAAGTGAGGACAAACACGTTCAACCGAGACACCTTGCACTCTTCAAAAGTTACCCTGAGCGCCGGCTGGGGGCTCAGTTGGTTGGAGTGTTGTCCAGGGCAACAATAGGCTGTGGGTTTGATTCCTGGTCAGGGCACATACCTAGGTTGCAGGTTCGATCCCAGTCGGTACGTGTATGGGAGGCAACTGATCAGTGTTTCCTTCTCACATCGATGTTTCTCTCTTTCTTCCTTCCTCTCACTCTCTAAAAATCAATAAAAACATATCTTTGGTGTGGCTTTAAAAAAAAACGTCACCCTGAGAGAGCCTGAGGCGCAGGAGCTCCCATCTCAGCGAGGAGAAAAGAGGTGCCTGATTTTCTCAGTATGCTCTCAATTTGCTTTACATTTTGACATAAATACATTTTACCACCAAACACTTTTTAAAGTCGACATTTTCATTAGTAGATCCGAAACTACTTAAGTTGTAAGCCTTCTGAACTTCTGTATTTTTCTCTTAAATTATAATTTCCTTTTATTCCTATTTAAAACCCAAGTGTAAAAGATGTGTTC